TGGAGCGGGGCGGGAGGGGGGGTGCGCCGCGCGTGTGTCACTCGCTCTCTCCCTCTGTGTTTAGAGGATGTGCTGAATGGTGCGCTTTGAGGCAACGGCGGAGGAGGAGCAGGATCCGGCGGCAGCTGGCAGCCTGGGCTGCCCGGCTCGGCTTCTACTTCGTCCTCAGAGGCTCGGCATCCACAGCGAGCTTCCGACCCGGCGTCCCACCCGGAGCATGGCCCAGCGCTGCGCCCCCGCGCGCCCCGCCTGCTGAGCCGCGCCGGAGGGAGGTGAGGAGGCCGGGAGGCCACAGGAGGCCGGCTAGGAGCACAATCGAGTGTCTCTTGAGCAGAGAAAAGAGCCCGTGCCCGGCGCCCCGCGCCCCACGCCTGTCCCTGTCGCGCTCGCCCGGGCCGCCCGGAGCCCAGATGAGCCCAGATGGCTGGGGCTCAGCCTGGAGTGCACGCCTTGCAACTCAAGCCCGTGTGCGTGTCCGACAGCCTCAAGAAGGGCACCAAATTCGTCAAGTGGGATGATGTAAGTATTGGGGCATCCGGGTTCAGGGCCCTGGCCAGGGCACGGGGCTGGCCCGGGCACAGGGTAGGGTGGCAGGGTGAGCGACGTGGGGGTGGGGCGAGGGGCGCATTATGCAATGGGCGCAACGAAGTCGGCAGGGGCGGCCTCGAGGCGCACAGGTTGGCATCTGTCGAAACCAGTGAGTGGCAGAGGGCAGGGGCATTCCTTGCCCTCCGGTGGACATGAGGTTGAGCCATTGTCATCCTCAGTAGGTCTAGGAAGCTCCTTTTAAGGGTCCTAAACATTTGGGTGAATGGAATAGGTAGAAGAGGTGGCATTAGCTCATAACTGACCCTGAGAGTTTAGAAAGTGGGAAGTTGGGACTGGCTGCAAAGCGCTGGAGTGTGAACAAGCTGCGTCCTTCTCTGCTGTCAGACGCACCCCCTGATCACCTGCTTTGCTCTCATCCAAGAAGGAAAGGACCCGAAGTCCGAAGTTGTTTAGTGATTTCTAACCCTTTTAGCATTTTTACGGATGCCCACGCGGCAGAAGACACAGCAGTCCAACCTACAGGTGTTTTTGATGCCAAACTTCACCGCCTGGCTGTGGAGTGAGGGACTTGAGGAGGGCTAAAGAGCAGAAAGGGGGGGGCATGCCGGGTCTAGAAAGGCTTAGTGGACAACAGAAAAGTGAAAATGGCTCCCCCCACCTTTTTTTTTTTTTTTTAAGACCTAAGCTAATTGTAATCTTAGACTTGAAATAGATCCTTCCAGACATTCTTCCACGGTTTGCTTGTATCTTTTGCCTGGTAGATCAGAGCCTAGCCCAGTTGAGGTCTTAAATTCTTTCACCTGAGCCCTACACCCCAGAATCTAAAGTGATCTCCAATCACAGTCCCCCAATTTTCTTCAAAGACAGGTAAATTCTAAATCCTTTTGGAAATATGCAAATCTTCAGATGGAGGGTTTTATTGCATCAATTTTATGTCCTGGGTGTCCATCAAAGGGTTTGATAAGAATAAACTACTGGAATAAACTCAAGCTGCCAGGATTTGAGAAAATTCAGGACCAAATAACTAAGACATCTCTTAATCAGGAGGAATTACAGGAGAATGAAGCATTCTTGCTGAAAAGATTTTCCACCCAGAAAATTATAGACTGTTATCCTCCAGGGTATTTTTCTTTAATCTTCTTAAGTCATTTTACAGAGTCTGAAAACAATTTAAATATTCCAGGTAGCGAATTCAATTACTTAGCTGAGTGCATCTGTGTCTATATTTTGTCCACTTGGAAGCGCAAACAGAACTTTGGAGTGTGAGCCACAGCTTCCTTGAAAGCTTATGCCAATTATTAAATGCTGTAGGCAGAGATGTAAACATGCACCCTTCTATCCTGGAACCATGGACTTTTTACACTTTTCTCTAGTCCACTTGGACTAGGTACTTTGGTAAAATTAAAAGAATAACTTCATACACAAAGTAAATTCATTATTTGTTTCAAGCTTAAAGAAAGTAAGAAAATGCAATTCAACAAAAATAAACAGTCTAGCCCGTCCTGGATTCCTATAACAGAGAGCTAGTGTGATGTTGTTGTTGTTGTTATGTGCCGTGGAGTCGGTTCCGACTCATATCAACCCTGTATAGGGTTTCCAAGGCTATAAATCTTTATGGGAGCAGAAAGTCACCTTTCTCCTGCGGAACAGCTGATAGTTTCGAACTGCTGACCATGAGATTAGCAGCCCAATTCGTAACCATAAAGCTACCAGAGATTTACGAAAAAAGACAGGGAAAGAGAGAGAAACACTTTGCAGTATGTATAAGGGTTTCAGCATAAGCTCTAGATATCTTTAGTGGGATGATTTAACAACTTTATATTAAATAATTTCCCAGTGCTTCTGTTTTGGAAGGCAATGTCTAATGTAGCTTTGAAAATAAAGGTCTTCTATGCAAACACATTTTGACACATTCAGATAGAGGATTTTTATTATGTGCATTTCCATCACAGTTATTTTTTGCTCTCCTACCAGTGTCATGCACTGGATTAGATCTTGGGAAGGTGGAGAAATTAGACAAAAACCTCTGCTCCCATGGATTGTACTGGTGAAGACAGAAAATTAACAAGAACATGTGTGAGAGAGATTTTGAGCTCTGGAGGACATAAATAGCAATGCAAGGGGAGTAATGGAGAGTCAGACTCCACTTGAAGATTGGTGTTTTGTTGTTAAATGCCATGGTCACCTTCGACTCATAGCTACCCTGTATAGAGTTTCCAAGGCTTTTAAAAAGTCTTTTCAGGGGCAGAAAGCCTCATCTTATTCCTGAGGAACAGCTGGCAGGTTTGAACCGTGCACCTTGTGGTTTGCAGTCCTGTGCTTTTCTGTAGTATGGAGTCACTGTAGGTGACTAGGTGAAAATCATTCCCTTAGAGCACTGTAGGGAAACCCTTCAGGAAAAATGTAGGTAATGTGGAGCTCTGGGGTCCTGGTGTGGTACTGTGGATTAATGCACCAGACTGCAAAGCTGTTTGAATTGCTAGGTTGGCGCTTCAAACTCATCAGCTGCTCCTTCGAAACAGTACACAGGGTTGCTATGGGTCAGAATCAACTGGACTGCACTCAACAACAACAACAATGGAGCTCTAGTAGCATAGTGGTTACGATTCAGGCTGCCAACCTCAAGGTCAGCAGTTTGAAACTACCAGTGGAGATAGATGAGGCATTCTGTTCCCGTAAAAATTTGTAGTTTCAGAAACCCTGTGCAGCGTCACTATGAGTTGGAACCGATTCCTTGGCACATAACAACAACAACAACAACAAGGAGATTCACTAATGGAGTCCTGGTATGGCACTGGGGTTAATGTGCTGGACCAAAAAGTCACTTTGAAATGCAAGCTGGCAGTTCAAGCTTACCAGCTGCTCCTTGGACCCTGTGCAGGGTCCTTACGATTGGAACTGACTCACTGGCACTTAACAACAACAACAAGGAGATCCCATGGCACATAACCACCATCACCACTCTGTGGCACTGCTAGTTTGGTTTGAACCACAAGGTCGGCAGTTCAAAGTTATGAACTGCTCCTCCGGAATCCTATACAGGGTCCCTATGAGTTGGAAGTGACTTGACGGCACTTAACAACAATGATCAGAGTCTGGTGGTAGAAAATGGGTATAAAGGACAGTGGGCCCTGTGGGGACATTCTGGTGAGAATCGATAGTGGAGGAGAAGTTATTTTCTCCATCTTACATTGGAAGCTCCAGAGACTAAGTCTGGCCTTCCTCTTTGCTGGACTTAGGGTCATGCCTTGTCCTGGACAGGATATGAAGAGAAACAGGATGAATGAAAAGTTGTACAATAGGCTCTTCAGCTCCCAATCCAGTCCTTTTTTCCACATCCACGATCCTATCTTTTTCCCCCAAAGCATCTGAGCGGTGGAAGGGGCTTTAGTTTCCTTTTTCTTTCCTTGTCTCCTCTTCCACCTTCCACATTCACCTCTCACTTTGAGCAAGTTGCTTAATGCCTCCCAACCTCAGCTTCTACATCTGTAACATGAAGGTTTTAATAGTAAGCCCTCGACCTCACGGTTGGTTTGAATGGCAAGGTTGGTGGTTCAAACTCACCAGCCACTCCTCGGAAACCCTATAGAGAGTTGCTATGAGTTGGAACCGGCGCCAAGGCACTTAAGAAAAATGACCACGGTTGCTGTGGTTTAAATAAGAGAATGCATATGTGCTGCTTTGCATAGTGCCTGATGCACGGGAAGCCTTCAATTAAACATATTTTTAAAAGATCTTTTCCCCCAGGATTAAAAAAGATATGAATTGTACCAAGGTGGTCAGAATGTGATAGATGAATCCTTTACTATACATGTAGGAAGATCAAGACCTACCTTCCGTTTCCTTTAAGTTGTATTTTGATTTTATGTTTTGTAGTTTAAAGAGGAAAAAAAATGGTTTCTAGCTTTTTTAAAGTTTTAATTTCAGTGTTCTAGAGAAATTTAATATTCATATTTGAAAGCTGGACCTACTCTCTCTCAAGCAAGGAAGTTTACTAACCATCTGAAATTTTTATTTCTCCATAAATTCCTTGTACATTCTGTCTCACAAGCGCAATCTTTCTAGAGCGGCTCAGAGGTTGGAGTTTGCATTATGCCCTGTGGATTTGAAATAAGTTACCCTTTCTATACAACCACAATACAGCTAAAAACAACTGAAAGGAAAAGCAAAGAGCAAAACAAAAACAGAAGAACAATGTTGTTGTTGTTAAGTGGTGTTGAGTCAGTTCCAATTTATGGTGACCCTGTATAGGGTTTCCTAGGAACCAATGGTGAATTTGAACCACCAACCTCTTGGTCTAGTGCTTATCCTACAGTGCCACATCAGGACAACAAAAACATGCTAGTATTTGGACTGTTTCCTAGCACCCTACACAGAAACTTGGTTATAACTTTAACATTGTATAAAATGTGGAATTGGAATTTCCAAGATGACAGGAGATGATGAGAAGATGACCGTAATAAGATTAATGAAGGAGCAGAGGGAAGGATTCCTGAGGTGGGAATTCAGCAGTATTCTCTTGGGAAAAGGTTAAAGGGTTAATAGGATCCTGCTTGGGGGTACCCACACAGAGTGAGTAAGGCTAGCAGGTGTCCTTTCAATTGCCACTTAAAAATGTCCGAAGAGCCGAATGAATTTGCTTCCTGACAGTCAGCAATTTACTGTACTTTAACAGCAAGAATATACTTTTTCCAATGAAGTCAACCAAGGCGTTTTAAGCGTTTTGTTTTTGTTTTTAATCAGAGTACAGCATACACACAGAAAAGGCACAGATCTAGTGCCCAGCAGATTCTGTGGTCACACAATCAGTAAGACACAAGATTGGCAGCCCCCAAAACCCCCATGTGCACCCTTCTGGTGACTACACCCCTGTTCCTGACTTCTAACACTGAAGATCAGTTTTACCTGGCTTTGATTTCATAAAGCTACTGTTACTTTGAATGAAAACAAAGCAAATCTCTTCAGCTTGA